AAATATTTCTTTAGTTTTGTTCTTTGGAAATCAGAATACCAAAAAGTTAATGGTCAATAACATAAGTTTTTGGTACAATATTATAAATATATATATTATATATATCACACAATATTATAGTTATTCATGTGGGAGAACAGACCGTTTGAAATGAATTAAGTAACTCACCCCAAAAAACATTAAAGTATGAAAACCCTATAGAAATTCAAAAAGGAAGAGATGTTGTAATGGATGGCGCCACCCCCCCCTTCGTAAATACATCATACAATAAATTATCATAAAAAATAATATCTTAGCATAACTGCAAAAATACATTCACAAGCATTACCATCTCAAACCCTGGGTTTGACATCTTAACCATTGACGAAGATTTTGTTTTTCTTTGCAAGCCATCCTGGTCAACCTTAAGGCGAGACTACGGCAGGCAAAAAACAGCTCGTTTTTCAAGCATGGTTAATTTTTGAGAATTTTGTGTGCTATTTTGGAAATTTCTATAAACATGTTTTCCTTATCGGGCTTTGGAAGAAAACGTAACAAAAATACACATTTAAAGTGTTTAATATATTTCTGTATTCAGATCCAACAGCTGCGGTATTAACACATACTACTAGGGATGCACCGAATATTCGGCCGCCGAAAATTATCGGCCGAAAATGGTTAAAAAGGCCCTTTCGGCTTTCGGCCGAAAGGGTTCTAGCACCGAAAAAATATCACCGAATGTCAGAGAGCAGGGTTACGTTGGTAAGCTAACGTGTTGTTGTGATGACGTAATCAAAACGAGGCGACAAGCACGGCGCGCGACCATGCTCGCGGCTGGCTCACAGCCAACATGTCTGCCGCTTGGAAATATTTAAAAATATCAGAGAAAGAGGCGCGGATTGCGATTTGTAAAACGTGTTCAGCTGACATTTCTCGAGGGGGTGTAACTGCAAAGACTTTCACCACTTCGGGATTACTCCACCACTTGAAATCAAAACACCCGGACAAATATGCGGAGTAAGATCAAATCACAAGCACTGACAGCGAGAGACTGTTCAGCGCTGCCTCTCATGTGCTTGATGAGAAGAGGAACAGACTTATGGCTGATAAAGCAGAGAAGCTACTGTTCATTAAAAATAACCTCCCACTTTTCCTTAATAAGTAGACAAGGCTGG